TAACAATGTATGGTGAAATGTCAAGGCAAAAATGTCACAGAGACATCAACTCCAGTAACACAGCACTTTCAGTACCAAGTAGTCTAAGGATAGTCGTCACTGTGTCTTTAATGATGTGAATGTGATCTTATATTATATAGATTCATGGCTACAACCTTAATGTTTCCCGTCACAGTCCTTGAGTCAATCCTCATCCCACACAGTAAGGCGAGTTTCCATTTCATTCTTGAATTCACACAGGTAAGTGGGTGGGTATGTGTGTAAATTCAGAGATGTATTATCACATTAATCCCAAGCCCATTAATCTCATTGTTCGGGTGTTTTGGGTTTTTTTCTCTTGAAATGAAATAATTCTTTACCTACTGTCCTCCACTGGAAAGAAGAGAAAGGTTACTATCTGGTAAATGACTGCCTAAGTCCCTTTACTTCATGCCTCTGTTCTCTTCTTTGTAAAACAAAAAAAGATAATGTCCAGGTCATCTTTACAGATGAGCTGGGAGAGTAGAAAAAATGTTAGAATACATGAGAAAATGTTAAATGCCTTGAAAGGAAGCCATAAAAAGAATATTTTTGAATGGCATATAAATAGTACTGAAGATGATACTTAAAACAGCAAATGGCACAAAATAAGAAAGTTGTTTGTGGTTTGAACCATCAATCTTTGATGATAAATTGATAGCAAATTGATAGTAAATTGAGCACTTTTAATCATTTTGCCACCTACAGACCTTTAAGGCAATATATAAATCAAGTAAATGATGGAAGAAATCAGCAGTCTTGAATATTGTTATTGCTGGCTATTCTCTCTTTGCTATCTAACTACAAAGCATCTTGGGTCAGAAGCCACTTTCTAGTGACTGAAGTTTGTGTGCATACTGACTACTGCTGTGATATTCTTTAAGAAAAGAAAAAAAAAATCACTGCTGCCCAGTCAATTCTCATTCATCGTCAGTTCCTGAGACTGCACTTTTCTCTCTCAGAGTGGCTTATGGATTCATACTACCAGCCATTCAGATATTAGCCCAACGCATCATGTACCAGAGATATGTAGTAATATAGTCACCACTGAAAATGAGACTTTCATTTCTATATCTGACTCCCTTCTCAGTCTATAAACCTGCCACCACAGAGTTGATCCACCCCCTTTTATTTATTCATTGTTGCACATTTACAGAGTTGATTCTGACCCATTTTGACCCTATAGGATAGGGTAGAAGAGTTCCATAGGACTTTTCAAGGTTGTAAATCTTATGGAGGAAGTGCTAGTGGGTTGTGGTTCATCACTTGGTTGTCAACAGAAAGGGTAGTGGTTGAAACCCAAGAGGTGCCCCACAGAAGGAGAAAGATGTGGTAGTCTGTTTCTGTAAAGATTATACAGCCTTGGAAACCCTCTGAGACTATTCTCTTCACTCTTACAGGGTCACTGTGAGTCAGATTCCACTTGCCAACAACAGATTTGCCATTGTTTTTTAATCTGTACAGATACTTCTGCACACATCTTTCTCCTGTGGTGGGTTGAAACCACTGGGCTTTGGTCCTCTTCCAAGCACTTAACCACTGGACTAAACAGAGATCCTCTCTCAGTCTGCAGATGCTGGGATTTGATGTGAGCACAAAGCCTCATTTGTTCTAGTCCAAATATCCAGATATGTGGGTGGATGCATTCCACTAAGGAATGCCATCAGTGTTCACATTTGCTGATTCTGGACCTTGAGGCATCTAACTGTCTGCCTCTGCAAAACATAGTGTGAAACACTTTTCCTACCTGAAAATGTTTTCATCCACCAAAAACGTATTGAGCACGTACAGTAATAGAAGGTATTCTGCCATGCATTGTTGAAAACTTAACAATGAGCAAGTCAGTTAGTTGTTACCCTTAATAAAAAATTTATAAACCAGGTATTTTTATTAAGTTGTCCATTTATCTCTCACTCATAGCCACCCAAAGTACAATAGAGCAAAATCCTACCAGGTCCTGCAACATCTTCACAATTTCTACTGCACATTTTTTGTAGTCACTGTCAATCCGTCTTGTTGAGTGTCTTGGTAGTGTTAAGGGTTTATCGTACATAATAGCTTCCCTAGTCATTGACTTTGACTTTGCCATGGAGATGGGCAGGAATATAAACAGGGTGTGTTAGTCTATGCACAGGGGATTGGCTAGTCTTGCCATTAAATCGAGGAGCTTCAGCTGGCAGATTTTTATAATTTCACACCAGCAAAGAAGCAGAGAATGTAGTGAGTACCCTTCAGACATAGAGATTCTTGTGCCAGCCAGACCTAAAGGAGAGCTGCAGCAGCCAGGAGTAGAGAACTAGAGACCCAAGGTGAGACAGAGCTGACCTGGGACTGCTGCCCCATGAAATCAGAGCTAAGAGCTTGTTGAAATTTGTTGAAAGACTGAATGGATTTGGGGTGGCAGGTGGTTGGAAAGCCATAATTAGCAGGGCTAAAAACTTTGTAACACTGGCCTAAAGCCACAAAGCTGCAAGCTGAGGTGCCTATGTGCACAGAAGCTGTCTGGACTGAGTGATTATATCTGTTTCCAACCTGAATTACAGCCTTTTATGGTTCTGTGTGGTCTGTGAGCTATCACAAGGGATTTTGGACCCAGTAAATCAGCAAGATTGGTGTTGGGATGAGTAGAAAGAGTTGCAGGAGTATGGGAGACATGTCTGACCTCATGGGAATTAGTTTTGTATAATAGACATTGTTGATGGGGACAGTTCCTCCTTGTGGAGTTAGTAGAGGTCAGATATGGACATCCTCACACAGCTCTTACTCTTTTTACAGTCTTCTTTCTATTTTCAGGTTTTGACCTTCTGTTTTTCCAAGTATGATACCCTTCTCTAGGGACTGGCTTCTACTGATACCATGTGCAAAGTAAGTGTGATGCACCATCCTTGTTTCTGAGGAGCAATCTGGCTTCACTTCTTTCTTCCAAAATAAGATTATTTGTTCTTTTGGTAAACCATGGCATAGTCAATATTCTTTGCCAACGCTTTGGGATAAGGAGAAAAACAATTCTTACAATGAATCATCATGGCAAATAGAGAAAAAAATTGAAATTGTCAAAGATTTCATTTCACTTGCATCCAGGATCACCATCCATTAAAACTGCAATCAAGAAATCAAATGCAATGGCCAAACCTGATGCCAAAGACCTCAGGAAAGTACAGAAGAGCAATGATGTAACTTTAAAGACTAAGGTGTGACTGGCAAAAGTCACGGTATTCGCTGTATATACATGTGAAAGCTAGAAAATTAATAAGGAAGATGGGAAAAGAATCGATGCTTTTGAATTGTGTCATTGAGGAAGCTATTGTCTAATCAACAGGCTACCAAAAGAAGAGCTTATCTTGGAAGAAGTGTCACTAAAATGCTCGTTAGGTGCAAAAATAGTTAGAACTTAATCTCACATAATTTGGACATCTTATCAGGAGGGAACAGTCATTGGAGAAACACAACACGCTTGGAAGAGTAGAGAATCAATGGAGAAAAGAGAAAGACTCTAAAGAAATGAACTAACCAAGTAGCTCCAACAATAGCAAGTAGCTCATTAGGGATTGCGAGGATGACCCCGATCTGGCAAGGTTTCATTCAGTGCTCCTGTACAAAAAGGTCGATATGGGTCGGAATAAACTTGACCGCATCTAACAACAAAAACAACTGTGAGAAGGGAAATTCCCGTTAACGCCAACCACTTGTGTGATTTCTTTTATAGGAGCACTAGATAAAGAAAGCAGTATCCGAAAGCTAATAAATTGGTGCCACCTAGGGATCCCTTCAATCTAGTACAAAATACTAGAAAATAGAAGAAGGCTTCGTAGAATACAAGCATCCTATTAGCACACAGAATGATGACATCATCACGCACCAAACCGTCACTGTAAATTTCCACTGTATAAGCAAGAGAATGAGAATGAAAAGAAGTAAGTTCTGTTTTATCTTGCTAGAAATAGTTCTGACCTTGGAGACACCTCCTCCCGCCCCCAGGATCTTGGAGACGTCCTGAGTTGATAGTCACATTCTAATAAACTGTATTTGAGTTTGAGAACAGAGAACTTTTTGGAGTATTTTATTCCCACTGCCAGAGTAAGCAAAAGTGACCACAAGACCACTAGCGTCTGGAATCCACAGCCAGAAGCCCAGGACGCAGAGAGTGCGCTGCTCAGCCCTGGAAACCGTAAATGCTCGCTTGTCTAGAAATCCTGAAGCGGCGACCCCACCACCTAGATGTGGCGCGAGCTGGCGACGGGCGGGCGGCTCCCCAGCGCTCGGAGGAGAACTGCAGCCCTGGTGAGGGCGCAGCGGGGCGCGGAGGCGCCTCCCCGTGGCCGCCCAGCCAAGGGAGCCCGCCCGGAGGAGGAGCGGGGCGGGGCGAGCGTGGCCAGGTGCGCGGCCCGGCGGGTAGGTATCTCCAGCCCTCGCTCGACTTGGCTCAGTTCGGCTCTGCTCCCTCTGCCGCCTTTTCGGAGCCCGACAGGAACTCGCGGTGTGCGTCCCCCGCTGGCCAGGGAGACTCTCCGGCAGCTGCGCACGATCCCTGGGCCTCGAGAGCGAGCTCACCCCCAGCCCGCGGGAAACCAAGCGCTACTCGACGCTGAGATTGGAGAGGAGCTGGAAACCGAGGGCCTGGCGGCCTCAGGGACCACCAAACAACAGGGCTCTGGCCCAGGGGCCTCAGGAACATGTGCCTGGGGCTGCAGGTGCGGGTTCGGTGGGGAAGGGGGTCCTCGGAGGGGCAAAGCGGGGGTAGGAGGGCGTTGGCTGAGTCAAGGGGAGTAGCACTTGTACGCAGGTATTCTTGGGGGGCGGCCCCCTCACTTCCAGCCATGGGAAGGGCTCGGGCGGCCGAAACCGGCGCACTGGGCGAAGTCTCACTGTGGTATTGGGTACAACAGGTCAGTGACTCAGTTCCCAAAGGAACACCGAGTGCTGAGCTGGGGGCTTTTTTGATGTGTTTGTTTTGTTTTCGTTTGTTTGACAGTTGCCAGACTATGTTTAAACTTCTGATTATGCTCAGCCAACTGCCTGTTACCTTTACCTTTCCTCATTGCATTACAAGCCTGAAGGACTCCAGGCATGCTGAAGAAGGTAAGCACACCCTCAATTTCAAAGAACAGTCTCCTGGAAGTCAGAGTTGCATATGACATTTCAGGAAAGAAAGTGTCTAGTTTGAATCCTACTGTAGATAGGATTCAATTGTAATTTATTTTGTGGTTTGCTTGGTAATAGGATTGTTGGGTTTTTGCCCCTGCTGTTTTGGTGTGGTTTTTAAAAAACTACAGTTGCTACAAACATGTTTCTGCGAATCTCTTGATAAATACAAAGGCCTAGTTTGTGGTTAAGCTGAATGGAAAGCAGTTTCAACTTCTGGAAATCACTGAGTGCGGTTTTTACTCCTAGATGAGGCTCTGTGTTAATTATAATGAGCGTAATTACTTACTCTTCCTGGAAAGATAGACAGAGAATGGAGATCTTGTCTGGACTTGTGAGGCCCAGGGCAAATTACCTAATCCCTTTTGGGCTTGAATTTCTTCAGCTGTGAAATGAGGCTGGGAAACAGAAAGCTTTCTGGGGTACAGATGTCTAAATTTTGATGATCTGATTAAAGGCAGAGGTGGAAAGAAGCATGCGTTTGGGACTTGCTAGCCTAGAAGGCTACACTTTTTGAGTTACATTGCACAGACTTAGACCTGAGCCCACAAGTGAAAAGGCAATCCTAGGGGGGAAAAACAAAAGGCCAGAGAAAAGGTCTTTGAATCTCAGTTTCTTCTCCTTGTCTAAACCTTGTGCTTCTTCATGCAAGGTTAACCCCTTGGATCTCCAGCCTTCTCTCTGTTACATTCCTTTATCCCTCTCCATCAGATCCTACTCTCAGCTCATTTTCGTTAAGGAAGGATCTGTTACACTAATACCCTTGGCTGAGTTATTAATGATTAATACACCTTACTGTGTTAAACAAACTCAAGAGTATGTGTGTGTGCTTTAAGATAAGCCAATAATATCTTTAACACCAAGGACTCAACACTGCTGTATCTAGGTAATTAGATAGGCTAGCTAGTGAGACAAGGAAAGGCATTCTCCTTGGTACCTCTCAAAAGGAACAATATATATACATCCACCCATATACATAAGCTGATGGCTCACATTCAGTAGAACCAGACACTGCTCCTCAAAATGATTATGAGTCTATTTATGCATTCATTCACATGACAAACCACAAACTGTGGAAGGAATTTGAAGATCATACTTAAGTGGGGAGGGCTAGAGGTATCCATGGGAAAGTATTTTACATATGTAAAAAGGTTTGTTCATTTCTTCAAATAGTAATCTCTGCCCTGTGAAACTTTTCATCTGGTATGGGAAACAGAGTGTAAACAGATAATCTCCGTAAATTCTGTAACAGAGGTAAGAACAGAGAGCTCGACGAGCTGAGAAAAAATGAAGTAGGAGGAAGTTTGGAGAGCTCTATCACATAGAAGCCAGTGCTTTCTGTCTCCAAATAAATGTAGGCAGTCCTCAGGTCATGACCGACATCTGGTAGTAAATGTCCCTTTAGGTAGGATTTGTGGGTAGATTGGAACAGGTGCATATGTATGGTTCTTATTTAGCCTTGCTTTAAAGAAACAAGAGCTCTGATGTAGTCATCGGTAGGCTGTAGGCAGTAGGCTGTTGTGCAGCTAACCAAAAGACCGTGTCTCCATCTCCAGTGGTTTGGATCCACCAGCTGCTCCTTGGGAGAAAGATGAGTGTCTCCTCGTTATGATTTACAGCCTCAGAAATCCAGAGGAGGGTCGTTAAGAGTCAGAACTGACAGGATGGCAGTGAGTTTGAGGTTTTTTAAAACAAGAAGATACTGAAAGCCTTTCCTGTGACTGTAAAGCAGGGTGTGCAGCAAGTGAAGATGATTGTAGTAAAAAATTTGTTTTGACTAGGAGTTTATGCCCGTGTTACAAAATGAGGACATATATGCAAAACATTAAAAGGCAAAAAAAATATGGCTCTAAATCCACATTTCATAACCTAGTGACTTAGATAAATGATAGATAGAAGAAAAGTAACAGGAAAGAGACCCTAGGCCAGAGAGTAGAGTTAAAAATTATTTGAGCTTATTTAGATTTAAGTTTCTTTAGAGAGCTGGGGTAGCCTTGGAAGAAGGGAGAGGCAGTCTTCTGTGTGATTTACTGCCTCAGAAAACCCACTGAAGGGTCACCTATTACTAGGTTTAGACTCTTAAGACAAACAACAACAACTTAGTGGTCTAGTGGATAAGGCACTACTCTGCCAGCCCAAAGGCAGGCAGTTCCAATCTATCAGCTGGTCTATGGAAGAAAGATGGAAAGATGTAGAAGAAATCTCCTGTGAGATTTCCAGCCTCTGAAAATCCACTGAAGGGTCAACTATGAGTCAGTTCCAACTCAAAAGCAATGAGTTAATTATTAATTTATTTAGAAAATATGAGATGGAATAGGATGTGAATGGAATATCTGTACTGTTAGATTTGAAAGAGTAGAATATACGGACAGCCTCTAAAATAAAATAAGACAAGAGAAATTGGAAATAGGTGGAGAATCTGAGAAACTAAGGAAAAAAGTACATTAAAAAGATCAGTGTATTCTCCAGCCAAGACCAAGGAGAAAACAGGAACGCTCTGTGGGATCCAAGAATACTGAAGGAGCAGGGAAGTTTACTTTTTTTCTCCTAGAAGCAAAATCAGATTATTTAGAATGCAGATAATAAAAGGAAGTATTTGTCCTGAGATCGTAAGGAAACTGAAACTCAAAATTCATTGCCATTGGCTGAGTATGACACATAATGACCCTTCCATAAAGTTTTCAAGGTAGTAAATCTTAATGGGAGGAGACTGATGTTACACGGAGCACCTGGTAGATTCAAACCACCAACCTCACAGTTAGAAAGCTTGTAACACACTATGCCACCAGGATTCAGAAAGAATGCAGGTGTGAATTTTATCTGGCTCTGAAGAGTGACAAAATCACAACTTTCACACTCAGAACTATCACAGAACAGCCGTTAGAAGGCACATTTAATACAGAGTAAGGACAATTTTTTGGCATAAATATAATGTTGGGAAATATAACTCAGTGGGACACAGTTATTAATCCTTTTGTGACTGTTATTTCACTCAGTATAATGTCCTCTAGACCCATCCATGTTGGAAGTGTTTCACCAGTGCTTTATGTTTTTCAGTGCTGCATGATACTCCGTTGTATGAATGTACCACAAATTCTCTATCCATTTATTGATGGGCACTTGAACTATTTCCATCTCTTTGCGCTTTTGAATAATGCTGCAGTAAACATGAGTGTGCATGCATCTCTCTGTGTCTCAGCTTTAATTTCTTTAGGGTGCATTGACAGTACTGGAATAGCTGGATCAAATTTCTATTTTCAGTTTTTAAAGGAAATGTCAGACTGTCTTCCTTAGTAGTTGTACCATTTTTCATCCCCACCAGCTGTGCATGAGCATTCCAATCTCTTGGAATCCTCCTAATATTTGCTGTTTGCTATCCTGTTGAACTTTGTTGTTGTTGCTGGGGTTAGTCCATAACTCTCCCATGACTTGATACTAATTAGTCTCAGTCAGGGAAAAAGGGAACCAAACCTTTAGAAATAGAAAAGTCTAACTTGTCATTTATTGGAAAAATTAATTATTTGGAGGAAAAAATGATATTGAAATAACTTTCATTTGTGTTGAACTTTTTGGACATAACCCACATGTGAGGAATTATGCTAATGTTTATATTTCTTTTGTAGCAATTATCTTTAATGAAGATAATTTTAGCACATTTTTGTAGCAATTATCTTTAATGAAGATAATTTTATTGCATTTTAAAATCATACAAGAGAGTTAGTGAGATACAGTTCAGCCATGTCAACAGAATTACTCACTTTTTCTACAACTACAGTTGTTTTTATCTGTTTTATTGATAGCTAACATATTTTCTCTCTTCATTAGTCTTTACTTCAAAAGAAGAAGCAAACTTGTTTGTACATCGGCGCCTCTTATACAACAGATTTGATCTGGAACTCTTCACCCCTGGTAACCTAGAGAGAGAATGCATCGAAGAACTTTGTAATTATGAGGAAGCAAGAGAAATTTTCATGGATGATGATAAAACGGTAATTTTATTATGTTGACTGGAAATTTAAATTTTACTTAATTTAGTATTTTAAGAAAATTAGGCACACTTTGTATTTTAAGAAAATTCAGGACTGACTACCTATTATATCTTTCTACTTCTTTAAACTACTTATTAACTTATTTAGACTTGATTTTATACTTAATTGTGTTCATAGTAATTCTGGAGCTCTAATAGCGTAGTCTGTAGGGGGTTACACGCCTAACCAAAAGGCTGTACCTCTCTAAAGGTTCAAATCCACCTGTGGCTCCTTGGGAGAGAGATAGTTAATCTCCAGTCCTATGATTTACAGTCTTGGACACCTCATGGAGTGTAACGTAATAGTTGGTTTTAACCTGAAGGTAATTAGTTGGTTTTTATAGTAATTAGAAAATTATAAACTATAGTGAGTGTTTAATATTTATTATATTAAAAATAATCATGATGAGGGATGAATCAAACTCAAACATTTTCATTAGTTCTCTACTTTACAGAGACTTGTTGTTCTTAGTTGCCATCAAGTTAATTCATTTTACTTAAAATATCAATAAATAATATCTGTTAACCTTGTTAAAGAAACAACCAGCACTGTCCCTGTTATATAATCTTATGTAAACCAAACCCACAACTGTTGAGTCCAATGGTGACCTTTCATTGTGTTTTCAAGGGTATGATAACATCTTAACAGGAGACTACTTCATTTTTCTACTTCAAAGTGGCTAGAAGATTCAAACTTCTGACCTTTTCAGTTAGCAGCTCTTTACTTAGCTACAATATCATCAGGGCTTTTACTCTTTGCACATTAAGTTATCCCTCACTCATTCATTCCTTCTTTAAGAATCCTATATTACTCTTTGGTCAATAAAGACCTTTCTATGTATCTTTCTCCTAAGGCAGATCTGCTGATAATGATGGAACCTAATTTTTCCTTCTTCCATAGAAGGTCTCCTACATATCTTTGCCATATCTGTTAAGAGAGGGGAAACTAAGCAAACACTATTGTTAAGCTTCTCAGAGTTTTACCATGAAAAAAATATATCCGCTTTTATTCTATCAAGTAACAGGGAATTTAATTGTGGAGATACTGTTCCTCAATAAATAAATACCTTTCATTAAAAACTAGCTAATAGAGGGCCCACTCTATGTAGACAGGTTCGGACTCTTTGATATCAGGGAGCTCTGGTGGTCTAGTCCGTAGAGAGCTGTGCTCCCAACCTAAAGGTATTGTCTCTCTGGTGATTCAGATCCACCAGTAGCTCTGAGGGAGAAAGATGGGCAGTTTCCTCCTGTGTGATTTATAGCTCCCAAAAAACGCACTGGAGGGTCAGCATTGGGTCTGTTGCAACTCAACAGCAATGAGTTTGAGTTTGAGTTTGCGTTTTGAGTTTTGTCATGAGGCAACACAATAAAATATCAACAGCCACAGCTTCTGACTTTGGAACTTTCACCAACCCTGTCAAATGAGTTATCTTTCCATTACTCCACATGAATTATTATTAGGATAGTAGCGAACCTGTTCTTCAGAAATGGGATAGTCTAACTTGTCATTTATTGGGAAAAGGGATTACCTGGAGAGAAAAATGTGATGCTTGGGTAGGGAGTTTTGGGCAGGTGAAGGGAGATTAAATCTGATGCCATTAAGTTGGTTCAGACTCACAGTGTTCCATAGTGACAAAGCAAAACTGGCCCCTAGAGTTTCTAAGAATATCACCATTAATGGAAACAAACTACTTAATCTTTCTCTTGAGAACCAGCAGATGGATTCAACCTACTGACCTTTTGGCTGGCATCCAAACACTTAATTAACCATTGCGACACCACGGTTCCTCCAGGGGGAAAACAGCAAAATATAATAACAGAGAGTTGGAATGTGCAGTAATCTGCTGACCAGTTCCAGAGAAGGCAGAAGCAGTAGTGAGTGGGACTTTAACTAGAGTGAGTCAAACCCACCACCAGATTGAATAAACTAGTACATGCAAAAAATTTACCAGCCTGGGTTTTGGTCATTGAGATCAAATAAAATAATACTGCAGAAAGTAAATAAACTCGGAAATTTTACCTTCTTCACAGATGCTATTCTGGCAGGAATATTCAACTAAAGGCCCAACCACAAAATCAGGTAAGGCAAGAACTGATCAGATTGAATGTTTTCCTCACTCTGTATTGTATGGTATTGTATTACATCTTAGTCGTATTGGTTAAGCTTAGTTGTTGTTCAATATCCACACCTTGTAAATCCAAAGAGGACTTCACAATTATATGACAGGCCATCTAAGAGAGAAGGCTGGATTCATCTATTTACACAGTGAAAATCAAGTTTGGTGAGATACTCGAGAAATGAGATAATAGGCTTAAAGCGGCTTCAGACAACACAGCTTAGTCAAGACTTGCACAGAATAAAAGCAGGATTCCAGTGGTTTCAAATGGTAAACTCTATTTCCTTCCCCCCCTTTTTTACCATTTATAATGGTAAGATACTTATGCTAGGGAAATGTAAGTGGTTGGTAAGAACTAAGTCACATAGAAAAAAAGGGATAACTTTTATCTGTATTGGTCATTACTAGCTGAATATTTTTCCCCCAACTCTTCTTATATTCCCTTTGAGTAGGGTTCCAAAAAGAAGGGTGGTTATACTACACTGTAGCTGCTTGACAAATTTATCTTAATAATCTCAAATATGTCCAGTTGAACAAAAATATATCTGTCCTACTCAGTGTTATGAATTATCCATTTAATATGAACTATTTGAAATAAATTAAAGCATTACCTTTGAGCTGTGATGCTGGAGAGAAGCACTGAATATACCATGGACTGCTAGGAGAACAAACAAGTTTGTTCTGGAGAGGGTGAAGCCAGGCTGCTCCTTGGAGGCAAGGATTCTGAAGCTTCATCTGATATACTTTGAACATGTTGCAAAGCAGGATAAGTCCTTGGAGAGGGACGTCATGCTTGGGAAGGTGGAGGGACAGTGCAGGAGAGAAGACCCTTGATGAGCTGGATTGATTCAGTCACTGAGGTAATGGGGATAGGTGTGTCAGAGACAATAAGATTGGAAAGAGATAGAGCAGGATTTAAGGCTGTTGTACATAGAGTAACTATGAGTCACAGGCGATTCGACGACACATAACAACAACAACCATAACTAGGGCAATTAGAAAATATCATTTAAAAATTTCTTAGGTTGTGTCTGTAGCAGTCTAAAATTGACCAAATATGCAATCAAAATGCATTAATGATAATTGGTGACTGAAATGCAAAAGTTAGAAACACTGAGAGGGAAGGGTAGTGAGTGAGAAGGACTTGGAGCACTTGCAGAAGTGCTTCAATATGGATTGCATCTCAACATTAAGAAAACAAAAATTCTCACCACTGGACCAGTAGGCAACATCATGATAGATGGAGAAAAGATTGAGACTGTCAGTGATTTCGTCTTACTTGGATCCTCAGTCAGTACCCTTCATACTAGTAGACAGGAGATCAGGAGACATGCTGCACTGTGAAAATCTGTAATCAGGGACCAAATTATTGAGCAACAATGATGTTAGTTTGATGTTAGTCTTTTCAGTCACTTGCTATGCATCTGAGTTAATGAGTAAGGATGACAGAAGAATTGATGTCTTTTGGAATGTGGTGCTGGAGAAGAGTACTGAATGTCCCTGAATATGGACTGCCAAAAGAACAAAAAGCTATTTCTGGGAGAGGGTATAGCCAGAGTGCTCCTTGAAGTCAAAGATGAGGAAGCTTCGTGTCACATACTTTGGGCTTGTTACTAGGAGAAGTTATTCCTTGGAGAGGAACATCATGCTTGGGAAGGTGGAGAGATGGTGAAGGAGAGGATGACTACAGCAATGGGCTTGAGTGTGTCAGAGATTGTGAGAATGGCACTGGATAGGACAGGGTTCAGATCTGTTGTTCCTAGGGTTGCTATGAGTTGTATTCAACTTGACAGCACTTAATAACAATGACAATTACTAGGTGCTTAACAGTGTGCAACAGTAATCATACACCTAGACCTAGTATGAAATACATAAAAACCACATGTTCTTTTCATTTGTTTTATTTATGTAATCTTAATAATTTCTCTTAAGATGATAACAGAGAGAAAATTGATGTTATGGGCCTACTGACTGGGCTGATTGCTGCTGGAGTGTTTTTGGTATTTTTTGGATTACTTGGCTACTATTTTTGTATCACTAAATGTAACAGACAACAGCATCAAGGGTAAGTACCAAACAAAAATCTGTATTTATTATATATTTTATATTACTCTTTTAAATGGATCATATAAAAGGCTAGGGATTTAAAAAAAAATAAATAAACGTTTTGCTTTGGAATAAGTCTAGACTTACAGGGAAATGTGAAAAATAGTAGTGTGTTCCTACATACCCTTTACCTTATTTACTCTTCTCCCATTGTTCTTTGCTATAGTGCATTTGTCAGAACTAAGAAACTGATATCAATGCATTCCTATTTGCTAAATTCCATAATTCATTTAGATTTCACTGGTTTTCCCTTGGTAAATATTATATTTACTTAACATATGTCTCCAGTTTTCTGTGGTCGAGAACAATGTTTTAGTTGTTTGGCTGCCTAATTTACATGCATAAATTGAAGCTACATACTAAATTACACTTACATAAATAAGATAAGGATATTGCTTCTAAATTCCTTCAAAAGAATAGAAAACCTTTGCAGGTGTTAACTTGATTTTTCAGTAAGTGAGGGATCTGATGTGTAGTGGTTAAACACTTGGCTGCTAACCAAAAGGTTAATAGTTCAAACCCATTAGCTCCTCCTCAGGAAAAAAAGACCTGGTAACCTGCTACCAGAAAGGTTATAGCCTAGAAATCACATGGGGAAATTATTCTGTGTCCTCAGAGTCACTGACAATTGACTCAGTGACACAGGGCAAGAAGCAGGAAGCAGATCCCCTTGGACCCACTAACTTTCCAGAAGCAAGAAGTCCCATAGTTCAGTCTCCATCACAGAGGTAATAGATCTAGATATGTGGTCACCCAAGTAGAAACCATGTAACTGGCTTTTTAATTTCGTTGTTTTTATTGATAGGTTCAATTAAACAAAAACAAATAAAATTAAATGGTTACTACTTAAGAATAAATAGCACACTAATATAGTACGTTGATATCTACAAATGCTATCATTTTTTGCATAATAGAACCTAAATACCCTTATTAAAATAAAAAGGGTCCCCCTGTATCTAAGTATAGAAATGTTGTTGCAGTATAATGTGAAGTCAGAACTGCCTTGTAACTGACCCTCCAGCAGGTTTTCAAAGGCAATAAATCACACAGAAGATTGCCCATCTTTCTCCTGTAGAGCAATTGGTGGATTCAATTCTTGCCTTTGGGTTGGCAGAACAACTTCTTACTACCAAGTCACTAGAGCTCCCTAAGTATAGAAATAGCTTAATGTTAGAGAACTGAACTAAACAGGCTGTTAGAGATTGATGCTTTTATATTATCACTCATACTCCCAAGTTCATTGAACAAACTCATGGTGGTGATGATACTCCTTCTCAATGATACCTTAGTTATTTAACTTACCTTTGCTACAAATAAGTAATTTTTTTATCTCTGCAATAAAATAGTCTACCAGCCTTTTTGTTAATAATAACACTATGCCACTGGGGCTCCTACCACATATTAAGTAAAATGAAAATTGTGCAAAACAACAGAAGTAAAATGTAAATTGTACAAAACAACAGATGTATATGCTTCAAAAAAATATCAACAGCATGAAACACAAACTTAATACTGAAGGACTGACTGTTCCAAAATAAAGCCCACTAGAAAGAAATGATAACTGCTGCAAGGTGGGCTCCTCGCTCGAGTCATGAGGGGGGAAAAGCCAGAATAAAAATTACTATAAAGACGATGGGGGCAAATTCAAATTGGGAATTGGGACTGGCTCTTCCATGAATAAGCCTGGTGATGTAGTGCAAAAGGTCTGTGATTCAACTCCACCAGGTGCTCCAGAGAGAAAAATGGACAGTCTCTTAGAAAAAATATTTCCAGACTCTGGAACCTGCTGGCAAGTCCGCTGTATGAGTTGGTACTGCCATGTTTTATGACTTTAGAAAGAAATGTCTCTTCTGGGTTCTTTTTTGCAACTTGCCTTTGTCACTTACCAGTATGTCTTAGATATAGTTCCTGGGCAGTACTTGTAAATCAGTAAGATAGTCTCTGAAATATATTTTGGAGAGTTAGCATTTTATTTGTATTTGATAAAGTATTTTTTCATTCCAAAATGTTACAAAATAAGATTCCTTTTGAAAAAACACTAGTCTTAGCACAATATCTGTTTGTGGGGAAAGAACTTGAGATATCCCTATCCTAGATGGAGTTATAGTATAAACTCAAACTCATTGCCATAGAGTAAGAACTAACTCATACAGCTGACCCACCAGCAGTATTTCAAGGCTGTAAATCATACCGGAGTAGATTGCCCATCCTTATTCTGCAGAGCCAGTGTTGGATTCCAACTACCAGAGAGGCATGGACTTCGGGTTAGCAGCTCACCTCTTTAGAGACTATACCACCAAAGGTTCTAGTTATAGTATAGTGGAGTATGTGAGCTCAGGAAGCAGATTACTGTTGTTTTTAGGTGCTGTCAAACTGGTCCAGATTCATACTATCAGAATGAAATGATGCCTGGGCCACATGGCAAGACCGCCTGGGTTCAAGCCTTTGGTACTTAGCTCTTTGACTTTATACTATTTAAATGTGGATTCTACCTCAGATTCTCTCAATTATTAAATTTGGCATAAAATTAAAGCAAACAGTTCTAGTTAGTCTCCTTGTAGGGCATGAAATTTAGAGGATTTTAATGGGGCTGGTTTTCCAAGAAGATTGAACCACAGGAGCAGAGAAGGGTCTATCAAGACCAGTGTATAGGGGAGAAAAGCCAAACCACATAGTGCTGTCAAGTTGAAACAATCATAGCTGACTCTCTATTGGGTTTCTGATGGTATAAATTGAACAGAAGGTGACTGCCCATTTTTCTCCCTCTGAGCCAGGTGCTTTGGGTTAGCAGCTCAACTCTCTATGGACTAGCTCACCAGAGCTCCCATAAGAAAGGATAAGAAAAAATAGTCTTAACCAGGGATGAAGTAGCTCTGATGAAAGGAGCTTTGATGGCTTTGCCTATAGGGTAAAGCACCACTAACTCCATGCTAGCACCTCTCTGGTGGTTAAAATTCAACAGTGGCTTCTCAGGGGAAAGATGGACAATCTCCTTCTATCCAGCCTGGAAACCACTGGAGAGTCAGCTTTGAGTTGGTTCTAAATTTCTGGTGATGAGGTGAGAGGGATGAAGAATAGCAGGAAAATGGATGGTGTGATAGCCATAGGAAATTTCCATTTGAGTTGCCAGACAAAAAGAGACCACTTAAGCAAAATGTTTAAAGGGATATGGTCTTTGAGAAAAGTTTTGAAAACAAGACAATGTGAATAGTCTTGGGAACACAGAGGTGGGTAGACAATACTGGCTTCATGGAACTTACAACCTAGTTGCCTTAAGTAACTTGTACTAGATCAGAAAGAAAGTGAGGATAGAGGAAAGCCAGTAAGGATGCTAGTGAAGAAGTTCACATAGGAGATCATGCGTCTGGAATTATCTTTGAGGAAGAAGAATCTGAAGAGCTTGATGTCTAATTAGAAAGATAGGAGATGCTGGAAGAATGTGAGTTGAACCTAAGCTTCCATGCTAAAGGAATAGAATAAACATGTATGTGCAGTGCATGTGTGTATATGTGTATTTGTTTTTAAATGCTATCAAGTTGGTTTTAACTTATCATGACCTTGTATGACAGAATAGAACTTCTCCATTGTGCCTTGTTTTCTAAGCTCCATGCTCAGAAAAGTGGAGGATCAATGAAAAAGGGGTAGACCCTTCACCATCAATAAGATGGATTGACATACTGACTACAGCAATGGGCTCTAGAGTGGCAGAGATGATGAGAATGGTGAAAGTTAGCACAGGGTTCAGATGTGTTGTTCGTAGAATTGCTATGAGTATTGCTTGACTCGACAGCACCTAACAACAAAAACAGTCTTTACAAGAACAAATCACTAGGTCTTTCTCCTACAAAACTGTGGGTGGGTTTGAACTGCCAGTCTTTCAATTAGAAGTTGAGTGTTTAACCATTGCAGCACTAAGACACATTGTATGTGTGTGCACATGCGATCACATGTGTATATATACAATTTTTATGTGTGTTAAATATATATACTATAATATCTTTGCCTGTTTGGTGGGGGCGGTTAATTTTTTTTTTTTTTTTCAGTTTTTCTTTGCCTGGTTTTGGTATTAGGTTTATGCTTGCTTCATAGAATGACTCTTGTAGTGTTCCTTCTTTTTCAATTTTTTTTTAAATAATTTAAGTAGAATTGGTGATAGATCCTCTCTGCACATTTGGTAGAATTCAGCTCTAAAGAATTCATCTGGTCCAGGACTTTTCTTATGAGAAAGTCTTTTTATGACCTGTTCAATTTCTTCTTTTGTGGTGGCTCTGTTCAAGTGTTCTATATCTGTCATTGTCAATCTGGGTAGAACATGTGTTTCAAAGAGTTTGTCCATTTCCTCTAGGTTTTTAAATATATCAGAGTATAGCTTTTCATAGTATTCTGATACTATCAATTTAATTTCATAATATATGTACTGTATGTGTATATTCTATTTATGTGCTCTTGAGTTGAAACCTACTCATACCTGACCCTCTAACAGATTTTCAGAGACTGTAAATAGAACTACCTGTCTTTAGGTTGACAGCACAACTCCTTATGCACTAGGCCACCTGGACTCCCATATATGTGTACAGGAGATAGATACACACACATACACAATGGTGAGAAGGAAAAACTAATTTGGATTTTGTAAGAATGAAATGGCATGTGTCATAGAGCTAAGAAGAAGAGGTAAGCATTTATAGCTACTGATGCAGAATTGAAATTTCTCTCTTGGACTATTAAAATGAAATCAAGGCAAATTCTTTGATTTAAAGGACAGAAATTTAAAGAATGTTGGCAGTCAAGAGACCGAAAGAAGGAGACAGCAAAGAGGATAGGGGATAGAGACAACAGTAATTGTAATTTTAGCCCCAATCAGGAATTCCTCAAAAGTTTACTGAGGCTTTATGGGACCTATGAGCGCGGACTAAGAATTTGTCAAAGACTTTCATAATGTCAGTAAAAATCTTGAGA